ATGCGTTGCAGTTATAGGCGTGTAGGTTAAGTACGTGCGTCTCACGTCCACTTGATTCTAGTGGACTCTAAACACTGCATTTATTTAATGTGAAAACCCAACTGTTGGGGTTAATTGAAACAGATTTGTTTCCCCTTTGTAGTTGCACTCACAGCTGCAATGAACAGAAGCCCAGAACATGTGGATATATTGACATTAAGAACATGCTGACTTTCTCAGACTTTTGTAATTATTTTCTTTTTATTAGGTTTGTTTACATTTATACTTTTTTATGGTACACTACTGAATGGCAAAGTTGCAAGTTTAATAAAATGTTCTTTAAAATGGTTAAATATTTGTGGGAAAGTAATCATTTAGATTAATCGATAAATGAGTCGATAGTTTAATCGAAATAAAAAATAGTCGTTAGTGACAGCCCTGCATCCTACACCAAAGCAGGCTACTTTAACATGTAGCATGTACATGAGCAATGCTAGCCAGCGGTAAACTCTTGTCCAAATACCTTGTCAACAAAAAACGAGTAAATTACATCATGCGATAAAAAATAAGCGTACCGCAAACCTTTATCGTTTAAACTACAGCAGAAATCTAGTTTATTAGCGCTTCAAGCAAAACACATGCAACTAGCACTAAACACAAAATGTTGTATTAAGCGTCTGAAAGTCTAAATCATCTAGTTTTAGTATAAAGGGTATCTTTTGTGATGTTAAAGCAAGCGGATTGGCATTTAATATATTTTGTGTCTTCAGTATCACACCAGTGGCCGCCGTGTAAACCCTGTGCGATAGTTTATATAAACATCGCTTATTTTTTCGCTCCACCCGCCACAATATCAGCGCATTTAGATAGAGTGACCACTAATGCAGCTCCATGGACTGAGAAAAGTTTATTTTAATCACAGTGTTAAAGGATGAATTTAGATGTTATTCCGCTTACCGTTGGACCTGCCTCCACCGAAGACAGTCCTGAAGAAGAGGAGGAAATGACGCAGCGACGCCCTGGAAATAATATCAGGCAGCGGAAGTCACTCGATCCTGCTCTGAAATGTGCCCGTCCACAACATGTGTGAATCTGTATTTGTTTATTTAAAAAAAACTTTGTACGTTGCATATTATATATAGGCTTAACTAATACAGCAAGAAGAAATGAAATAAAATGAATTGTACTTTGTTTTTACTAAGATGTAAGATGTAAACAAATAACACGTTCCGCCTCTGTTTTTAATGGTGCTTTTCATTCTTGGTCATATGTAGCTTACTATATTAAGGCTGTACATTTGCATTGTTTTCTTAATTATAATTTCTATAAGTTCTTAATAATCCTTTTTTTTGCAATACATTATAGGCACTAAAAAGCCTCTTGTTAACCTAACCCGATTAGTGCATAAAAAAACAAATAATAATAAATGTCTTCCTCGGTAGAGCTAACTATGAAAATAACTATAACGATAACTACAGGCTTTTTAGAATCCACACCAATGCACACTAGTGCAGTTTTGCCGTCTGGCACTTTAAATGCTCAAGCTCATTAAAGACTGGTGGATTCTGGTTGGCTGTCAATGTTTTTTATGGTGGGCTATATCAGCTTGAAAAAACTGTTCAGAAAGTGAACATCCTTGGTGTGAACAGACCTTTAAATTTAACAGTTCGTATGAGGCAATGACTTTGCAGGCAGCGTTTTTGCACGAAGGCACCTCATGAAACTGATTTCGGACAGGCTTCTGAGGCAGCGTAATGGTTTAATGATCTACAACAAAATAGAACAAGTTTTTGGGATAACTAAACAAATATTTAATTACTATAATACTGATTTCTCGCTAGAAATAAAATCAAAAGTGAAAAAGGTTAGTCAGAAATATACATTTACACACAAACTGACCACCAAACGCAACTTTCAGACGCCATCTTTATTTTATAGCTCAACTGTCACAGAATGGAATGCACAGGATTGTGGGATATCAAAGGCAGAGAAGGATACATCTATGCTGCCTTCAAAATTCTACCAGAAGATGGTACCTCCGGAGACAGGAAGTGAAGCAGAATTTGGATTCGGACGTGCCTTGATGCCTTCCTGCTTTGAAATGATGCCTCCGAAGACAGCATTTTAGAGCTTTCGGATGCAGCCAGAACATTATATCCCATGATGCAATGCACTCAAACTTGACTGTTCATTTCAAGAGTTTGAACACTAAAAGGGCAAACTATATCAGAGATTATTAAAACTCACTAGATTAAAAAAGTAATGAGGTCATGTGAGTTCTGTTGTTTTAAATGTCCATCATTGCACAATGCTGTTACATGCTTCAAGAAAGTTATAGTGTTATTTTGAAGCCTGTCAGAGACACAGGATCATTGACTGCAACAATAACATTTAGGATGACATGTTGATTTGTCAAAAAGTGACTGAAGCTAAATAATTAATAGAGTTGTTAAAATATTACCAGTTGCTGCTTGTTCTACAAGAGGGCATCAAAAACCTGAAAATTAGCCCTGTTGAAAAAAACAGCATATGCTGGTTAGGTATGTTTTGACGCTGGGATGCTGGTTTTAGCTGGTCTTTTGCTGGTTTAAGCTGGTCCTTTGCTGGTTTGTGCTGGTCCTTTGCTGGTTTGTGCTGGTCCTTTGCTGGTTTAAACTGGTCCTTTGGTGGTTTAAGCTGGTCCTTTGCTGGTTTATGCTGGTCCTTTGCTGGTTTAAGTCTTTCTCACGGCAGAGGCTGTGGTGTCGACCTTTATTCATGCGGTGTGGTGTAATAATAAGCTAATAGCAATATCAATTGTTTTGTTTTCGTAATAGTGATCAGGATTAAGCTCACCCTGGTCCATCGTGTCCTGCTGGATCTTATGCAGGTACGTTATTGTTCTTTAAACACACTGAATTTAATTTGCTACAACGGTTCATTCACTCACTCATTCATACATTTTTGCATACACGCAGTTTCATTCACGAGTATTTAGAAAATGTAGCGTTATAAACGTTGCAAACCCAGCTGAAGTTCACATGTCATGTCCTCAACATTCCTGCCATCACTGAAGAACTCGCTCAGGAGGCCTTCATAAAATATGCCAGCAGCAAATGCTGTTACAGCTCTAAACCAGCCAAAGAGATGGTGTTCACAGACCTGCAGTCCCTTAACACATATCGGGTGAGCAGCAACATTCACATACAGCACATACAGCTATATATGGCAGCCATGCTTATATAACTTGGATACCTGTTTCTACTAACAGTTACCCCAACAACAGAATGGGACAGTGAACCATACAATGGTGAGTAAAGTCATTCTAAACCATATATTTATATATAATGAAATGAAATTGTATGTTTAAATATGTATTTGCCTTCATCAGGTCAGGTAGTGGATGGTTTCGGAGTGGCTCCTGCTCCGTGGAGCATCCCGGTGCCCATTCCTTCCCTCTTCCAAGACTGCGAGAAAGCCGTCCGCGTCACACGTCCACTGTCAAAGTAAAACTTCCTTCTGTCTTCCATTCATCAAGTTCATTGAAAAGTCATCTTGATTAATTTTGTTGTTGTTGTTGAATTCAAAATACAGGGCTGTCATTCATGCCTGAATCTCGGTAGATCTGCTTGCAGAAGATGTGTAAATTCAGGCAGGGTAAGTACCATATGACGATCAGATGGCATTTTTAATACTTCCTTCTGTATTTTCTGTCTATTGTTTCATTACAATGATTCTATTGTTACAGACTCGATGTGCGCACTGCGGTGGCACGGGGAGAACTGGCTCCAATCGCTGCAGTCCGTGTCATGGCTCTGGCATGACTAGGTATGAAGTCAACCCTTTTAAATAATTAATTAATTACTTTATTTATTTATTAACTTCTAAATATTTTTTAATATAGAGAAGTCTGTACAGCTTGATTTATTTAATTTAATTTAATTAATGTTTAATTTATTTCATTTGCTTTATTTCGTTTTTTCTTTTTTTTTTTAAATAGCTACCACCCAGAACACCCTAGCATTGTTGATGGGGGTTTAGCAGGGTTTTTATGGGTCTTCTTAAAAAAATGTAAGAATATAGTACGTATTAAATGATCTGTATTCCAGGTGTCATTCCTGTGGAGGAGTTGGTTCGATCACTTGCAAAACTTGCAAAGGGCAAGGAAAGCTCCTCTGCTTTATCAAACTTAAAATCACATGGTGAGAAGGCCATGGCTAACAACGATTTTTAAGTTCACTGTGTACAAACAAGCTAATGTACTTTTTCATTTATCTGTTTATTTCTCCACTCATTCTATCTTCTTAGGAAGAACAACATTCATGTGGCAGTGATTGACAAGGGCTCGGGATTCCCGGTTGAGCTTCTTGATCAAATTAGTGGAGAGAAACTTCTTACTGATATGGCTCCAATGGTGAGCAAAAATATCACGTTGTAAGCTCTGCATATCTATCTGAAAGATGTCAATGTTTGTCTCTATTTTTAACAAAATCTCTGATTATTTCAGTTCATGTCTATATCCATAGATTTCAAACATGCAGGCCAGTGTGTGAGTGTGTAGCCAGAGAAAGAGTTAACAAATAAATAAATAAATAAAACATAATTTGTGAAGGTGCATAAGCTCAGATCATTGAAGCCTACAATCAATAATTTCCAAAAACAAATATAAAACCTGTCCTGATTGAAAGAAAACAAGTTATTAATTCAATATTTGGTAATAATATACTGTAACAAGAAATCTATAAGCAATTTTTGGAGGCCAATAATTTTTGACCAAGAACACCACAAATAAAACAAGGTGGGGAAAAAATGCCAAAAAGTACATATTTTGAAATTTGTTGTACCCTATGTGAGCAAAGTCAGCAAGTTTTAGTCCAATGCGATAATGTTAACTAGCATTTTCGGGAAAAAGAAAATCCTCTCTGGGTCAAAATGACTGGAACTCAACGGGTTAAGAAAAAAAAAGTAGCAAAAGATTAAAAGTGGAAAAAAATAATATGAATGCAACGATAATTTTACAACATGACTCTGATTGTTTGACTGTGACTCTGAAGTTTTGACTCATCACTGCAGGTTTATCCAGTTGTCAGTTTTCCGGACAGCTCTGTGAACGCTGAGTCTGAAAGTGGTGTGAGGGAACATCAGGCTCAGTTCGCAACCACTTGCCATATTCTGCAACAGGTAATTCATCTGTTAAAACAAATCAAACACTTCTGATGAAACACCAAAAACCTGAGCTTGTCTCTTTAAGGCCACATCTCATCCTCCCACTCTTCTGGGAATTAATTGAACGACTGCTTCCTGTTGGCTCAATCCCATTGTAGTGTCTGGACCAATCAGACACAATTTTTTTTAGTTATATTTAACAAATACTCTGTAACACCCCTCAGTTAACAAGCCATATGAGGGTTGGGCGATATGGGCTTAAAAATGTATCACGGTAATTTCTGATATTTATTGCGATAACGATATCGATGACGATAATTTAGGGAATCCTGTTTCTTTAGAGAAAAGTATTATCTTTCCTATTTTACCCAAAATAGGGTGTTGTGAGCATTACAGAGTACACACGTAATGTAATGACTGTTTAATTCAAGCCGGAGGGCGCTCTTGCGCAGAAACTCAGAAACTATGCTTAGCAGAAGTAATGCTCCAGGAAGAAGTATCCAGTGATTGCTGTGGCTGAATAAAACACAGATAGAGACATTTTAACTGAGGAAACCTGAAGACAATAAACATGTGATTGCACAAAATATATGGTATCTGTGTTCTTCAAGCAATCTTGGGTATTTTTATAAGGATAGAGTATATTTATACTGCAATGCTAATCGACATAGCCTTTATCACTGTATATAATGCTATAAAATAGTATGATTTCTGCCTTATTCTGTGATACGAAACTACGTCTGATCACAAAAATAAGTTATTTCAAACACTCGACTGTTATGAAGTTAATATGGAGAAAAAGCATGTCAATAAATTCAAATATCTTTGTTGGACAACAGGTTTGTAAACGACTCATACACATGTAAAACAGTGTCGCACGCGTGCTACTGTAGTACATTTACTCAAGGCTCAGACCG